CAAAGGCATCAGCTGCATCTGCAGATCGAAGTTTTAGCCCATCCATCATAACCGGTTCACTGCCTGGTCCGCTGCTGGTCCCACTGCTGCCTCTAAGGCTATTTGATTACTCAACCTGTATCACAGAACAAACAAACAATGTAATAAGGGTTAAAAGTATATTTTGACAAACAAAAGTGCTGCAGGCCACGTTTTGTAGAAAAACTTATAAGTGTTTCTAGGTCGTAGAAGCACTTCCAAGTGATTTTTCATTAAGAACTTGGAGTTTTAATAAATAAAAAACCCAACATGGTTATAATAGAACACTTCCAACACAATCGCTTACAACGAAAGTAGTCCTAAATGAGAAAGAATCGTAGCTCTAATTAACTGTTAATATAATGCAGGCCAAAATTACCTTTGGAGGCAATGAAATTGGAATAGGCTCACGATAAAAGCTAGATGAGGAATTCCAATCAAGCTGCAACTTATGCTGATGTAAACATGCTTGCTTTCGTTTCTTCCCAAGCTGTTGAAATTGCCTTGTCGATCAATTCAGGTGCATCTTCTATATTATTTATCACAGCCTACCAATTAAACCCAACGTACCGAAATTAGCAAACCTTGGAGAGAAAAAAAATTTTTTTTTTTTTTTTTTTTTTGGTGAAACAATAAATTTTGTTAGATTAGTCACTGACGAGGTTTGAACCCACTCCGTGAGGCAAGAGCTCAATATCTTTCCACCACTATGGTAAAGGGGAACTTGCACAAAAGAAAAAAAAAAGTTTTTATTTATAAAAGCAAAGGAGAAAGAAAAACTTGTAAGCACCCACTGCATAGCATTAGACTCTCACATATTTAGACCACTCACAATTTTGTACATTTTTTTTCCTTTTTCCGGTACAACAATACATATAAGAAAATGTCCCAAGTTCAAATCTTTTCCCTCTCCAAATAAGAAAAGATGTGAAATTTGCATATATACGCTCAATTTTAAAGTCTAAATTGAGTTACTAATTTGATCATGTCAGTCTCTGGTTTAAACTTGTGTCATGGTTAAGAGTTGTTTGAGAAACAGTTAAAAAGGCATTGTAAACGTTTTTCGTAGAAGTGCATAAAAGTTCTTGATAAAATCTGAAGTGCTCTTTGAAAAAACACGTTTTTAATTTAACTTGACAATTAGTAAATTCACGTATCATACGTATATTATATACGTACGTGTGTATTTTCTAAAAATAATTCCGTTTTTCGTATATGTTTTAATGATTTGTTAAATTGCACATTTATTTTAAACTCCAACATATAATACACGTATACACATTTTCACGTTTAATACATGTTATTTGACACATTTTTCAATAATACACATTAAATTCATGTATTCTATACATATGTTTACTTTTTATTGGAAATAAAAATAAATAATTATTTTAAACTAATACATTTTTTTTTTTTGAATGCCTAGTTTTTCAAATAACATCAAGTACGTATTTTTGTTAAAGCGTTTTTAGTAATTTTAAAACTACTTTCAGATATGTGCTAATTACCTAATAACAAGTGACTTTCTGAAAGCACCTAGGCTCTCGGCTAAAATCAGGCAACCCAATAGTATGGTGAAGAATCCTATTATGAGCTCCATGGTCATTGGAGTTGGGGCCTCCAAGGCTCCAACCATACAAATCACAGACAAATCATCACTGCAGGCTCCAGCAATCGCATTCAGAACACTCTGTCCACCCACAGTGAAAGTAACAACACGTGCCCACGCCTCGTGAATGCGCATAGCCATCGGTGGCATAGCCGGTGTTGAGCTCGTTGCACTAGCCAATGTTAGTGAGCCCCGACTCGGTGATGAGATAGTCCGGCATGATTAAGTTAAAGTCACCAGGCACAGAGAACACGTCCGTCAAGCGTATTTGGACGCGCGAGGTAGCTCCCAATTGTGGCACCGGACAAGTTGGACGGACCCCAGTATTTCTGCATGGTGGTGGAACTGACGTCTAATTTTAGGGAGAGACTTACAAGTTGCATCCAACTCGAAATGGGATCTTTGTGGAAATGGATTTGGGTTTCGAAATTGGATTGGAAAATTGGGGCGTGGAATATTCAATAGTTCAGTTTTAAAGTAATAAACTAATTTGAAATTTGATGACGACTCAAAAAATAATGTAGTAGTATTTAGTTATGAAAATTGTTTTGAGGCAAAACGGAAGAGGGAGGATTATACATATACACACAAAATATTGGGTTTCTTTTTTAGAAGAAGGGATATTTTACACTAATAAGAGGGGGGTTGGAAGTTTGAACTCATGATGCAATGTGTTGAAGAAAAAGACTGACTAACAAAACAATTCACCACTTGGACACACAATTTTTCAGTTAATAACAGATATATTGTTTCCACTACATTGATCCAAATCCTAAAGTTGTGGACATAAAGTATTCAGGTAAAGTTTACGCAAATGTGGTTAATTATGATGTAAAAGATTAACGAAGGGTCGGTTTACATCATATACTGGTTAGAACTCTTTACATGCAAAAGGAAAACATCATGACGCAGTGATTAACTAGCTGTTTTTGTGTTAATTTTGCTAATTAGCTATGCATTTTGATTGATGGTTCAGAGATTGGTGGGTGGACGTACTTTGCAGTCATCCCAGCTAAGCTGACTCACGTCTGGAAATTTGGCTAATACATTGATTTGTAACAATAGTCATAGGTTTTGTGTGATCAGTTATCCTATGATGTAGTTTACATATTTTTATTAGTACCTTATTATTTAGATTGGTCGGTGAACCATGGCACCGCCTTGCCAAATTTCTTAATATTTGGGCTATCTCTAATGGAGAAGGCTAAAAGGCTAAAGGGTTAAAAAGAGAGAAATTTTTTGGTGTGCCAAGAACATTGTCTGATGCATCAAGTGTCATGATATATGTGCTTCCATTATGGCACTTTGCATACCAAACCGTATTCTCTGCATGCTGAAAAATCTCTCCAAAAATGGCTTGATTTGGACAACACTCTTAACTTCAATCAAAAGTTGGGCTAAAAATCAACAGAGCCCACCAAGCCAAAACATGATCCAAAGGGCATCGAGCTGGCCAAACTTGGCTTAATACCCAGCCCATTTGCTGGGGCCCAATAGCAGATGCTGCAATTTGCCATTGGATCCAACGGCCAGATTTGAAGTTTTTTGCAAGGCTTATAGATGATAAAGATCGTATCAATAGTATTAGTCAAACAAGTGTGAGTTTTTAGACTAGTACATCTAAAAAATACTATGAGTTTTACGAATGCACCTCTTTGCCAAACCCAAGAAACCATGAGAGTTGTTCTTCCCTGAAAAAAAAAAAAAATAGATATTCAAGAGGGCAAGGATGAAGGTGTGAGAATTCTACACCAATATCCAGTGAATTTATTAACATTGGAAGTTGAAAATAAAGATATGCCACATTGACAAGAATCTTATCACAAATTTGCATAATCAATTACATCTCAACACGTGTCCCTTGAAAATCCTATCTAAAAAGTTATTGAGATTACATAAGGGTAAAAAATTTGGAGACTTACTCATTTAGCGTCACGTATCTCTCAAACATTTTATTAAAAAAAAAAATTATTGACATTACATAAAGTTAAGAAATTTAGAGACTTAACATTTAGTAACATGTGTAACTCAAAAAATATCTGGATCACCTTATTTTACTATTGTAAGTAGTAGTTTAATTAAATTAACTATTAAATTTAAAATAATAAATTATCTAGAGGCTGTTTAACTCTTTCAGTTAGAGACGGCATATAAAAACGGCCTGACACTGTTTAATAAGGAGGACCATCTTACAGGGTTATAATTGAGCTATGTTGAGCACCTTCTGTTTAAGATTGTGTTATACACACAACATCGGCGCATTACAAATTCATATAAATCATTATTCATGGCAGGAACGTGGTTATTCTCCACGTTGGCTTCGAGGGGGAAGGAACAGAGAATTAAAACCATTGGGTTAATTAGTCATTTTACATGTAAAAACCGGCAAAAATGTAAAAAATTTAAAACAAAGGTAGAAGTTTTTTAGACCATGTATAAAGAAAATGTCAAATTATAGTAGTTAAATTAAAATTGATTGCTTATGTGGCAATCTAAAACCTTAGGTCATCTCCAAAGGAAATGTTAAGTTTTAAACACAAAATTCAAGTTTGAATGCTTATGTGGCACATTGACCTTTCTATTGTAAATTTTGTTGTCGATATATCAAATTTAAACTATTATTAATTACATTATTTACTTTTCATAATTGTATTTAGTATTTTTAAAACAAAAGATAATAACAAAAATTATAAAAAAACATTTATTATCCATTAAAAATAGATTTGGAGCTGCTGTCAAATTTGACAACAACTCTCTTTTAGTTGCCATTCCATGTAATGTCACATAGGAATTGGTATTTTAGTTGGAAAACATTAGTAATGTTTTCTTCTTGTTCTTTTTACTGTTCTTGGTGATGTGGACTTTTTGACATCTCTTTTGAAGATGTTCTTATATCAAATTGTATACTTCTCCAACCAGATTATCAAATGTTATTTTCTTATTAAAATAGAGCTCTAAATGGTTGTATTTATTACCAAAAGGTTGAATCAAAATTTTTATTGGTTAAAATATTAGTGAACCATACCCACCATTCAAAATTAATTAAAAATAAATTTGACATTGATGTCAAATTTGACTCCTAATAAAAAAGTCTTCAAATTCAATTAGCAAGTAACGCTTCGGTTGAATATACACAGCGAAATTTCACCTAATATTTTGACATTTCCTTTGAAGATACTCTTAAACCTTCAAAAAGAGTATTCTGCCAAATCTCCCATTCTACATCAATCTCCACATTGAGAGGTGGGGGAAGTTTGAACCCCAGACGATGAAGTCCCTAATCATCACCGCCACTTGCTACAAAATGACAAATGAAATCGAGTTGAAGCAAAGAAATCAGCAAGACAAACGTAGCAAGTGCTAAAGCAAGAACTAAATTTTCAAATCTCTTCCATCTTATTTCCATAGAAAAATTTGGCCTTTAATTTTTACACCAAGTAAAGAAAAATACATTACACGATTCATACAACGAAAAGGTATGAAACGTTTACCATGGCATTACAAAGACAAAACCACTTTCCTAGGGTTCAAGGAGGAACACTTCTTGTAGACTACAAAACAATGGATGCTCCTCCAAGTATGTATGGTGACCCAAACTCACATTCTCGTTCTTAACTGTAGCCGCAAAACTGTTTATCTTTTCTATAGTCAAAGGAGTGAAGCTATGTCCATGAAAGCCAGGAACTACGTGATCCGGACTTTCCTCTCACCTGAGCACGGGTTTCTGCAGTGTTTTGGAAAAACGTATGTCCCCGTTAAGAACAGAGCTAATGAACCTCTCCACTTCTTCTGTAGTCATTTCACCATTAAATGATGCAAATGACCCCCTCCGAGGTTTGTAGGCAACCAAGAGCTTATCTGATGATTTGAATCCTGCTTTCTCAAACGCATTTAAGAAGGTCGCCTGCTTGGTGGCATCCAAGAGAGTGTAGGAAACAGAATCCTTGCCATGAGCTGAATTCTGTCGCCTTGATAGCGATTTCCTAGAGACCTGAAGACAAAAATATAGAAAACTCAGAATGTTAATCTTTCAACTTCCATAAGAATATCATTGTCATGTGAGAAACCAGATGTTCGTTACAGTAGTGGTGAGTCTAATAAGAGAAAGCACACTCACCGCGGTCAAAATTGATTCCAACTTATTTCTTTCCTTGGAAGATCTGAATGCACCAATGATGCACACTGGAGTTTTCTCACCACAAAGAGCGTCAAAATTAGACTCTGTCAATAGAGGTATCTGATTCTCCCCCACATCAGTCGGTTCTTTCTTGGCCTGACTTGAAGCTGCTTTCTTGCTCTTTTTCTCGAAGCCTTCAAGTAAAGCACTAAGCTCTGTAATCGCCAACTTCATATCTTTGGTGGTAATGCCTGCTTTTAAGACATGCTTCTCCCCGTTCGGAAGCCAACCAACTATAGCTGGAAGTGCACCAACTCCCAGCTTCTTCAATGTTGGATCAGAAGCATCATGGACCTGCATTATCATTGTGAAATGATTTTTTAATACAAAAATGCCAGATATTTATCAATGAAAAAACGTAAGGTGAACGAAAACAACCATAGCATCTTTTCATGGAAACTGAAAAGTATATGATTCACTTTGTCATAGAAGTACCAGGGTCGTCATTACACCCTACCCTTTTCATACACACACACACACACACACACATATTGCCCTTGTACTCTCGAACGGATTTTCAGGTTGAATGTCAAGAAATTGGTAAAGACACATTCTTCATACATCGAAAAGATTCAGAAAAGGAAAATTGAGTAGATTATGCCAACCAAAATCACCATATACCTCTGCATCATAGAAAATGAAGTGATTGTGATGCAATCCGCTAAGGACACGCCAGATAACAGGTGTATCTTTCTTGGTGGAAAGAAGCACCACACTACGTAATTTATTGGTTGTGAAAGTGGAAGACTCAACACGGTTCAAATCAACCCGTTTCGAAAGCCTTGGCAGATTGTCTTGGCAAAATGTCTTCAAAGGTTTTGCAGCCCAATCCCCATCATACTCAACCAAAGAACCCTTTCCACTCACTTTGTACACAAATACCCTGGGCATTCTGCTGGGATATATGCCAAGGTCCTTACAGAGAGAGGGTTCTGTCTCACAGTTTATGCTTCCAACCTGACAGAATAAAAGGAAAGAATAAGTATATCTAGAGATCAAAAGCAGCCATATTGTAAGGAATGAATAAGAATCTGAAAATACCTTTAAGGCTCCCTGCAGGGAACTAGCAACTTCCTCCATGATATTTTCAACGTGTTGCTTCCCCTTCAATGAAGGAGTGTAAGATAACAGTAGCTAAGTCATCCCTCGGTCAACTATTTCTTTCTTATACACCTGTGAACTGACGGTCGTAATGGTCACTGGAGAAGTCTTAGACCCGGGTCGAGACCCAGTTGAACCACTGAAACCACCAAACTGACCCCCACCTCCAGGTTTACCCCCAAAAAAGTTTGAAAAGATGTCTTCCATGCCAAAACCAAATGAACTTGGACCACTGGGACCTCCGAAGGAAAAGGAGAATGACTTGGAACCTCCCTGCCCACCCATGCTCTGCCAGTCACCAGGTCCGTAGGTAAAGTGGTTCTGTCCTGGTCCACCATTTGTAAAGTAGGTATATCCACCATGATCTCCAGGAGAACCACCTCCAAATCCAGGATTTCCCTTCTCATCTCCATAGGTATCATAATTTTTCCTTTTCTCTTCATCAGATAAAATTTCATACGCTAATCAAAGAAGAAGAAATTAACCAACATTAAGTACAAACTTTGTGGATGTGGCTACTACAACAAGATAGGTATTTAGGAATTGAAGTAGCTTCAACCAAAAATGAAACAGGAAAGGAATAAAAAAAATGAAGAAAAACTAGAGAAGGCAGAAGTCATACCGTTGTTTATCTCAGCAAACTTTGCTTGAGCTCCCTTGCTTTTATTCTTGTCTGGGTGATATTGAAGAGAAAGCCTAGAGCGCATTATTCACATTAGCATGAGTAAGGTAAAAAGCATGTCACACCAGCATTTACATTGCGAATGCACAAGCACACGCACAAACACATAGACAGGCACAACTGGAGAGCCAATTATATATCCAAGAACAGGACCTTACGTAATGTGAATCAATAAAAATGCCCTTAAGCAAAAGCAACCCTAACTTACAAAGATAAACTCTTAATCGTTTTAATAGCATGAGGAGAAACATATGTTAGTCTCCTAGTATCAAATTAGACAAAAGGAAACAAACACTGCTTACTCACAAGGACAAGTCTTAAATGCTGTAATAAAAGTCAGTCTTGAAGCTAAAGTCCTACAACAGCTCAATAGCTTCACTACCACTACTTTTGATAGCCCAAAAGCACCATTAATGCGCCTTCATGGCTAAGAACGATTAACCATGTATTCAAACAAGACCACAGATGAAAACTGGCCCACAGTGCCAATGTTAGGCATGAAGAATTATAGTTTGTCACTTGAACCAACCCCAACTCGTCCCAAACCAATAACAGAACTTCGCAGATTCCATCCATCCTAAATGATATATGCCCACTTATCATAAATGATAAATGAGCTTGGAAGCCACAATAAGGGCCAATTATGGATCGCATTCGGAAGCGCTTTCTGAAAATCAACAGTACTCCCAAAGTAATCCGTTTGACAGAAAAAGCGACAAGTGTTCCTAGGTCCTAGAAGCACCAACCGAATGCTTCTCCGGGAAGCACTTGGACTTTTAAGCCCAAGAACTGACTTTTAATCAAACTGTCAACGTGCTTATAATCAAAGCACTTCCTCCGGAAGCAATCTCAAACGAGCCCTGATTATTAATACTTTCGATACCCACCCTAAGCCCCAAAAAACAAAAAAAAAAAACAACATATATTCTCACTTTCTCAGTGGTTTGGTTTAGCACAATTAATGAAGTACATTATACATAGAGTTGCCGGAACATACTTGTGGAACGCTTTCTGAATTTCACGCTGACCTGCATTCCGCTCCACTCCAAGTACCTGATAATAATTTTAAACCAATTTCAGAAAAAAATGGGTAAATAAGTACAAACCCTAACATCTGCTAAGACTAACAACCAATTTCAAATTCTGCTCCTTTTGCACCGTTTCATCCCAGTTTCGTCAAATTTTCCTTTCCTTCCAATTTCAAAATCCATAGGGACTTTTCGTGATTAAATCTGATTGATTTACATTCAATTCTTTCACATTGGACGGGAAAATGAGGAAAAGTTCCAAATTACATATAAAAATGAAGAATTTGAAGACTTCGGAAACCGTACCTTGTAAGGGTCTACCGTTTTCGCTTCCATGGTTAAGAGGAAGAAGAGCAGCAATGACACAAAGATCCAAACTGTAAACCGGTTCTCCATGTCGGAATCCGAAATTTTACAAAGATTTTTCGGCTGTGAGCTTCAAGATTTGTTGGATTTTTCGGCTGAGAGCGACGGAGGGAGGAGGAGGAGATTGAAATGGAGGGCTTATAAAGGTGCTTCGCGGGTTCCAAACGAATCCAGATTCTTCGGGGTTTATAAGGCCGTTGGGTACACGTGGCGGTATGACTTGTTCCCACGCAAACTGACCAATGGAATTTCAGCGTTCTTGATTGCGTTAAATGTTAAGGAAACGCACCGCCTACACGCGCTTTCGTTTTCCACGCTCTGCGTTTGGGTGATTCAGCGGAGAGGAGCGCCATACGCGCCATTACAATTTTAGTGGCTAATTTTATTTGAAATTAACCTCGGGGTCACAAACACAATAGGTTAGTCTTATTTATGTATTTAACTTGGTTTTTACAAGAGTTGAATTTGTACCTACTCACTTACATAAAAATATATCAAAGAGCTATACTGCTAATTTTTTGTGAATAACTAATTATTGTTAACATATAGATTGAAAAAATATCAACATCTGTGTAATTAAAGTATCGACAATATCTTCACACAAAAAAAAAATATCGACAATATAAATCAAACATAGTCATAACAATCATATAGACATGAAGTTAGAAATAAATAATAGGCCAAATACTAGGTGGGTATATATTCATAAAGTCAGGCAGGTTGACCCAAGATTATCTCATACGTTTCATAAGAAAATGCAAAACAATCATATAAACATGAAGTTAGAAATAGATAATAGGTCAAATACTAGGTGGGTATGTATTCATAAAGTCAGGCAGGTTGACCCAAGATTATCTCATACGTTTCATAAGAGAATGCAAACATCAAATCAACACTTTCAACACGTTTACTTGCAAAATCATTTTAATTCTTTAGTTTCTTGTTTTTATTAAAATATGAATATGTTTCACTTACATTTCTGGTATTACTAACATATGAAAAAAAAACGTGTACGTTTCTCCGTTAAATAATCAAATACCAAAAATTAGAAGAAGTTAGTTGATCAGATTCTCTTTCTTTAGTTCCAACTATTTCTAAGTTCTTCATGCTTCACCTTTGTTAAACAAACATGCTTTCCTCAGTTCAAACTATTTCTAAGTTCTTCATCCCTCTCCTTTGTTGAACAAACATGCTCTCATAGTATTCAACAGCTAATAAAACCTCATCCTCATGCTTTTCCCATTAGTTAATGTAGAGTTAAAAAATAGGACAATGATGTTCACACACATATCTTTACCTCTTACACATCTCTTGTTAATTGTCAACATTTGATTTACAATTCATTCGCTCTGATGGTGTGACTACCACCACCCCAAAATATTGTCCTCACTTTACTATTATACTTCAGAACTAAGCAATAGAGAACCACACAGGACCCCAATATCTTCATTCTTTTTCCTCTGAAAAAGTGGAAAACCACAAAGAACCTCGAACTCACAAGCTTTACCTAATGTCGTACGCCAATTATTAAGATCCCAATCGATATGAAGCGTGTTCCAAAGTTGAGGACAACATGCGGTAACCAAACTCCCAAATGTCGTAAATTGCCATACATTTTTATGTAACTTTAAATTTGACGTTACTCGACTACAAAATCTAACATACAAAAAACCGCAAGTTCCGGAATTGCATATTAGAGAAAACCCGGCTAGAATCGACGTCTGAACACTATTAAATTCATTCATATCCAACTTCCAACCAGATACAGTGGGTGGGGAGAACCAAAATTGAAACACAAAACAAAGGCTTATGCTTGAGATTCAGCACCATTTGCTGTTGCATCCATCGGTTCAGCTTCCGTAGACTCCTCGGGCTTATCGCTCTTCTTACCTGCACCGTGCAAAGACATAAGAACCCAGATTCTAAAAAATGACCCTACAATCGCTCCAGGACGTACTTAAACCATGATCGATAGACTCATCTAGCTTACCTTTCTTCTTCTTTCCACCACCTTTCTTCTTCTTTGTGGCCAAAGACAACCAGGCTTTGATTTCGGGATCATCTACTTGTTTAGTGGGCTGCAGCTCCTGTACAGGATGAGATGTGATCCGGTCCGATCCATTTGGCATTAGCAAGACGGTGAACTTGATATGAGCAACAAAATCACCTGCAAATCACAAATTCATAGAATCAGACTGATAGAACTAGGATTTCCTGAAAGCCAGTCAAGCGGGCAGATTGTTACCAGGCTTCTCATGCAGGACCGGATATGGCTGCAAAAGTTCGTGGTTGACGCATTCGAGTAAGCCCAGCCTTGCCCTTTTCTCTTCCAAAGCTCTAATGCAAAGAAAAATACCTTTAATAAAGCCAGTAAAAGCTGAAGACCTAACGACAAAATAATTACCGAAATAACATAAAGTTAACAAACCTAGCAGTGAATGGCATGATGGGAAATTTCTGGCTTATTTCGCTGAAAATAAACCTAGAGGCTTTCATCTTCAAGTGGTAGCTCTTGTCAACAGCTCTCTTGTAGATAGTAGTCTGCTTCTCATCCAGCAGCTTAGGCTGCAAATTGACATAAATGTGTTGATTTCGAAGTCAAATAATTATATATCATAACAATGACAGTTGGGCTTGCTTTTTGTAACTCCTTTATTACCTTGCCTTCACCTGTGCTTGCAACTATATCCACTGCATAAACTTCATTCTCCTCAAATTCTGCCTCGTCAACTCTTGTCTCTGGATTAGAAGCACTTAATATGACCTTGTTCCCGTCTATCACAAACTGCTTGAGCTGATGGCTAAGAACACCTTCAACAATTTTGCAGTCATAAGCTGCTGCAACCTTTTGTATTGCTTCTGTTACATCTTTGTTCTGCAGCCACAAAAAGAAAACAACATAAAAATTCATATAGTATAGTAAAAGAACTAGAAGATAAAAAATTATGCTTTTCTGAACACCAAACAGCAATCCTATGTACATGTTTAAATTGACTACAAGTATTGCAAACAGTATGAATTGGAAGACATGTAGGCTCAGTTGAATGACAATTGCACAGACAACAATATACATCTGCACTAGCACCAAAATGTAGCCAGTTGGTTTAGGCAACAGGGAAAAAGAGGAAATCAATAAGATTCAATTTCCTCGGCAAAGTTGCCTACAAAAATGGATTGATCAATTAGGTTTCTCTTTTTGCTTCATATAGTAAAGTATTCGAAGAAAGGCACACCTTAAATGTAAGCTAATTTGAATGATGATTGCACAGACAAGAAATACATCTGCACTACGCACCAAATGTAGCAAGTCAATATAGGCAACAAGGAAAGGAGGAAACCGATAGGATAATCGATCCCTCGGCAAAGTTGCCCACAACTATCAAATATGCTCACATAATAATCCTATCAGAGTAACTATGACATGAAGCTTCACTTGGACGTTAGCCCATAGCTTTCGACAAGTATTCATCATATAGAAGCAAGGAACACAATAAAAAATGCATAAGTGAAGAAAGTATATTCCAGGAGATTGAAGTGGTGTAGGCTCAGAGGACAACTAGATGAACAATGTAGATATGTCCAACCAGAGCAGCCCATCTATGGCCAAGCATAATATAGGCAACAGGGAAAAAGAGGAAATCAAATTATCATAGATCACCTCGGCAAAGTTGCCTTCAAACCCTCATTCATAAGAAGACATGTTATTATCACCGTACATTGACACACATCAGCAGTAGAACAACTTGACATCACTAGCTAAAAGACAGATGGAAACCTAGTGGAGATCTAAGCCTACCAGCTACCATCTGAGAATATGACAAGGCAAAAACTGAAAAAGAAAATAAATAAAATATCTAAGTGGTGGAACTATGACAACTTGACAATTAAATAACATAGATTTCCCCTTCAGTGTAACTATGACAAAAAGCTTCATTTGGATGAAAGTCCATAGCTTATACTAACATTTCATCATCAGGGGGTGCAACAAGCATAAAACACATCTTTTCAGGTTACGAAAACAAAAAAGTGTACAACATCAAATAGAAGACCACAAAGCGAAAACGCTTAACTAATGACCAATAAACCCCATTTCACATCAATAATGATTCAAGCAAACCAATAATGCAATCACTAACCATCCTCACACAATCCAGTAACCTATTACAGAAAAAGTGTAATAATTTCATCCAAGAAATTACCTTCCTCCCTGGCCTAACAAGCCTTAATGCAACTTCAGCAGCAGTATTAGCAGCTGCAATAACATCAGCTGCCCTTCCTGTGACTGGCCCTGCTTGAAGAACATGAGTATGCGCGACTATGGCAATGAACCCATCAATATGACAGCCCAAATCACTGCAGGAGAACAAAACTCCATCGGTATGCTGGTACTTGGGATATAAAAGTCCGAATCAAATTATCTAATCCACAAGCTATCTTTCAAAAATGTCAGAACATACAAAAGTTAGGTTATATGTCAAAACCTACATCTTCAGAATATCGCCTTCTTCCAACACTGACTCATCACTGGCAAGAGGAGAGAAATGGCAAACAGTGTTGTTCACAGAAATGCAAGTCGGGAAGGCAACGCCTCGCTCGATCTTCTTCTTCACATTTTTGTACATATTACCAGTTTGCCTTCATACACAAAAACAACACAACCCATTAAACCATCGCATTACAATAGAGAGAAAAATAAACACAATCCCACAAATTTCCAAAAGAAAAACAATAAACTTCCAATGCCAACAAGAAAAATCAACTTATGGGGTTATTTAAAAACTGTAAATTAAATATATTACTTACTCTCTGATGTATGAATCTCCTTTCTCACAAAGTTCCACAATCTTCGCCTTCGGTTTGCATTCGGATATTACCAGCTGCAAAGCCTCTGCAAATTTTCCCAAATGCAAATCAATACATTCATCCACAAAAGCACATGAATATACAAAGAGCTAGAAAATTACTGTTAACAATTTCAGCGGCGCTCTTGTATTTGGTGACGACTTCTGGAGATGTGAGATCCAGCTCCTTCTCCTCTCTCTCATCGTCCGACATCGTTCGGAAGCTCTGTGAATTCTCCGACTTCAAAAACCTAAAACATCAAAAATCCGATGAGAAACCGAGAAGCCATAGTCGAAGAACTGCTGTGAAATTAGCATTGGCAATTCGAAAATCAAAAACCGATTGGATAATCTGAGACCTGATTGGGGGAAAGTTTGAGGTGCGATGGAGCGGAGTACAGGGGGTGAGATGAGTGTTTGGGGTTTGGGTTTAATATAGCAGAGAAAAGGACGAATAGAACCGGTACGAAGGTGGCTTGGTAGAGAGAGCTAGGGTTTCAACGTGCGGCTGCGTTTGTTTATATACGATTTCGCGTCGCAGCTTATGTTAGGGTTTTATTTTGGGAAAATTCGGAAAATTGCCTTTTTTAGAAGGTAACTCACTTCTAACGTAAAATTTTCCGTTCGACTCTCGTTAAAAATAAATTTGAAATATATTATTATTAGTTTATTGTGAGGTTAAGTTCATATCTCTTTCTTTTATAGTAAATTAATATTGTTTGTTTAGAAGAAAAAAGAAGTCAAAAGACTTTTGCCCTACTTTAGTATGCAGCATTCAGTTGGAAGTTTAAAAAACTTTACAAGTCCATTGTATTCAATTAAGATTTTAAATAAATTTATAGAAGTGTATGGTTACTCAATTAAAATTTTAAAAGAGTTAAAATTCATAGAAATCAAAGTGTACCCATTCCAGATTTTAAAGTATTGTACTAGATGTTTTTGCATTTAGGACTCGTGTGTGACTAGCTTAACTAATTTTACATCTATGTAGTACTCGAGCGTAGATTATTACTCTCAGCTTATTCATATAGCTACTTTCTTTGCATGAGAGTTGTATGTCTGCATTTTTTATGAGCATAGAGTGTCACATTTCTTGAGATATTTGTAATTTAATCGTATTCTTAGCATAATTGCTTTTATATTTATTATTGTAGTGTTCATGCTTATTTGTAATATATTTTGGAAACTATTTTGAATTTTGCAAAGATGGGTTACCATGTTACAAAAAGCGAAGGTTTTAATAAATTTGTATTTTTGCCCACTCGCACTTTCTTTTTCTTGCCCCTCCACAACTTAGTAGCTATATTATGTGGCAAGCAATCGTTCATTAGCAAATTCTACCATCTACTTCTAGTAATGCAAGAAATTCATTTCTTGTTAGTTGTGTAATATCCATTCTACCCAAAATATGAATGTTCCTACCTTTATTGTACTTTTATCTATGCTATGTAGTGTTGTAATCATGGTTCTTTGCGATATACTCACTCTTAGATTAGGACTTTGGTTTTAATTTTTTCGCACTTTTTACACATCATTGCATGTTATAGTTTCGTCACCTCCCAGATGTCAACCATCATGCCTTGATATCGGTGTCCACTTGGATATCGGGTCGAGGTGTATCATGAAGTGTTTTTTGTGTGCTGCTTTCAAAAAGAAGTTTAAGTATTTTTCAGTATTAATTTGCATTTTCACTAAGAATTGATTTCAAAAAATATTTATCTAAAACCATTTTCAATTATTTAAAAACATTCTCTAAACAAGCTTATATTCTCATCTTAGAATATGAGAGTCCAAATTTTCTCGACTCCACCCTCTTGCCGGTTCGCTGATGATCTTCTACCGTGCTTGTATAATACCAAAAGCTCTCTCAACATCTTTCTAGTATGCCTCTTGGTGTAAATAAACAACTTTTCGACGTCATTCGCAGGGTTTGGAATTGCTTAGACAAGTGTCGCTCGCTTTGGGTAGATGTCTTCTACCAAGTAATACCTCATATTGTTCTGATACCTGTTGATGTAGTAGTTAAGTTAAGGTGTTTTACCTTCTGTCAGACTATTGAAGAGGGGTGAACGCCCAAGAACTGTAATGTCATTTTGGGATCCAAAGACTCCAAAGAAAGCATGTTAGATCCATATGTCATACGAGGCAACCGCCTCTAACACAACAGTTGACTTTCTAGACTTTCTGCATAAGCCTCATTGCCATCCAGTGGGACAATTCTTCCAATCCCAATGCATGCAGTGTAATGACCCTATTATGCCCGGAAACCCACAGTCTTCAGCTTTGCGAAGGAGTCGATCCAGATCTTCTTGATTTGGCTCGCGGAGGTACTCGTCTTCATTAGACTCCTCATCTTCTCATCTCATATGTGCCCATTTTTCTTCCAATTTGGAATTGGATGAGGACCCCCAATTGGAATTCGAAGAGGATCCAAAGTTGGAATTCATTGAAAACTTGAATTGAAAGAGATTGATTTGAAATAGATTGAATTCAAATGTGTGTGAATTATAGCCCAATATCTACCATATTTATAGCCCAAAAAAAATTCAAATCCAACGGCTAGCTGACGTTACTTAGCCGTTGGATTTGAATTTAAGTTGTAGTCTTTAAATAATAAATTATATTTGGCCCTCGGTTGGAGATGATTTTTTGTGACAGGGCTAAAACGAGCCCTATGGCCCTTAGTTGGAGATGGTAAGAAATATGATCATGCACTGTTCATTAAAATATTAATTTCTTGAAGGGCCAAAAGGCTAAAATGAACCATCTTGCCAGCATTCGGTTGGAGATGGCCTAAGCTCTAATGTTTTAGAAAATTGCTTGGATATTGGATTGAAATCTATTAAAAGGACTCAAATTTCCCAATTTCTTTCATACTTTATCGTTTAACCATCCTAGGCTGGAAATTTCATTTCCGTGAATTATATACATAACATGTTCGTGCGACAATATAAACAAGTAGTATGTGACATAGCACGTTCCTGCTTAGCTTTTATGGCTTTAACGCATGCTCATAATCTACTCCGAGAACATTTAACAGGTGTCACAACTAGAAAATTTCCCCTAGTTTCCACTCCCTACTTTATTGAGCAATTCTTGAGTACGGACGCCTATATTTCACTCCCTACTTTATTGAGCAATTCTTGAGTACGGACGCCTATATATTAGTATAAAACAAACGAGGATTAGGGACACCAAAAATGTGGTCATATAGCCACGTGGTCTAGATGCCCCAACCCTAGAATTTCTCCCACTCTAACACCGACACATCAACTCTAAGTACAGTTACTTTAAGATTACCAAAAAAAAAAAGAGAACTTAATCATTAAAAATTTCATAACATTCTCTGAAGTTTTGGAGATGATGGTTCTATAACAATCGATTCTTGATAAAAATTGAACAGAGAACACAAAAATTGTGATTCGGTTGAGACATCCTTGCAATCATATCTGCTACATATGGAGTTTATTTCTATTGAGATGAGAAGTTGCCTATTCTCCTACCGATCATCAAAAATATTGATAAGGTCTCAAAGAACCGGTGTACATTTGGGGAAGCCGAAGAAACTCAATGAAGAAACGCTAACTGCTAAATTAAGATGAATCGAGGAATGTATTCTTGCAATGGAATTGAAAACCGGAAGAAGCAAACCAATTAAATGATGATACCTACAAGGATGCATTGGGAAGATATCGTTTCTCATACAGTCCTATCACTTGGTCAGCCACAGTCCACATAATGGCCTGTCCCGGTGGTATCCTCATGAGCCGAGGCAGCAGTCCCTTCCACAAAGCTAGAAGCCCTTCCTCTGCGTATATTGTCCTGATACAATGGACCATGCCCTTGTATTTCATCTTGCCATCAACACCTCGGCTCTGAGCCATCAACCTAGTTTTCACAACATCAAAGGGACCAGTGCAAATTGGGCCGGCTGTGCCTGCAAGGAAACCCGATATCATAGACTGCCATGGCAGCAGGACTCTCCCATCTCCTTCATGTTTCTTCCACAAGAGAACATCAAACGCATTTTTGGCTGTAAACATTGCGGCCTGGTTCGTCCCATTGCGCATAACAGTTGGAGCCGCACCTGACCAGAGCCCACGGAGACCTTCCTCCCGGATGATTGTACGAGCACAGTGAATAGGACCCTTATACTTCAGAAGCCCAGGACTCAATCCTTTTTGTTGCTGTAGTCTAATTTTCACCACCTGCATCAATTAAATTCCAAATCAAGACCAAGCCGGCAATGAACACGCATAATATCTTTGTTGTATTGAATGAACTACGTTAGCTTGCGCACGAGGATTCATAAAGGAGATCTCTCAAGAGTATAACTAACCGACTAAAATGCACCTAACAACACAATTTTAAACAATCCCAGATCGATGTTTAGAGTTCGTACATGTTTGGACAAAAACTAACAACAAACAGGACAACTTAATTAAGTGCAATGTGCGATTGAAAACATAAAAGACGCTCGGTCCCAAAGTAAACAAATTGAATCAGTATCTTCCCCGAATTCTCTATCAGTCACTAAAATCTCAAAAGTCCTCGCACTCCCAACTGCCTTGCTTCAAAATTTATAAATTTAGCTTTTCATTAACTAAATTAAACCACCCCATTGCCAATCATAGACAAAATCCACAACTAGTAAGAAATCAAATTTAGGCATTCTGACATAGCTACAATGGCTCTAGCAAATGTATTACCTAAGCACCTGAGTCTGAATCCCCGTCCACTTACCGGTTAGTTTAAAGTAGAATATCGCTCGTATAAAATGAATAAAATACCAGCTGAAACCCAAAATACAAATCCAATCCACATTACGAAATTCCAGAAAAGTTGTCAGCTTTTTCAATTGAACACTTCAAAACAATGCACAGACCTCAAAAGGAGTAACAATGACTAGAGCTTCGAGAACTCCAGCTCCGAACCCAGAAATGAGCCGGCCGTGGTTGCTGACCTTCCCGGTCTTCGCGTCCTTAAACGCGCCCTGCAGCATGGCGTTGGAGCCCATCCGGAGCGCGTACTTCAATGTCAGGTGGGTGGCGAATGGGGTGAGCCCCTTCCAGAGAGCCCTGACGCCTTCGGTGCGGGCGACAGTGGCGCCGCAGTGGACGATTCCCTTGTAGGTGCCGGTCCGGTCGAGCTGGAGCCTGGTCTTGATTACATCGATCGGTTGAAGACACGCGGCCTCCATGATGCCCCCGAGCGAGCCCGACAACGCCTTCACATACGGCGGAATGGGCGGCTTATTGGGCGGCGGTGGCGGACTCGTCGGATTGGGGTTTTCATCCATGTTTTTCGGGAATTCGATTCCAAATTTCGAACCGGATTTGGAAATTGAAATCTGGGTTTTGCGAAGAAGGAGAAGAGGAGGAGAAGTTAGTCCTTTCCTCCCTCTTCTTCTTCTTCTTACTAATGAGTGCTAACGTCACTTCTTCCCAAAGTGAACATGCAGGGATTGTCAGAATAATTAGGGGCTAATTAATTAGTAGTTAAAGTACGTGGATTAGAATATAAACATGTGTTTTTCTGCATAATCAGACGTCAAATAGAAGGGTGGAACCTTTTACGTGGAGACGTCATTTGACCAAATTCATGAGATTTTTTTTTGGGTGCTAAAACACGGTTTGTTATCAAGTGTTATATCTAAAGGGTTGAATACTTGAAAAGAAAAACAAGTGGAGGAAACGTATGGGTTCAAATATATTGATCATTAATCTAAAATCTAATCTAATAAAACCTACCATTTAATAAAAGACAAACCTTAAAGAGAAAAAGTGCTTTGAAGTTTCGAAATATTTATATTTTGACATTTGGCAGCCCTTTAAATTCAGGTGGCCTCTGTGTTTCTGGGTCCGATGGCCAGTTTGTTTTGGTGTGCAGGAAGTTTTAGGGCCCGATGATAAAAGCCTGCAAGAGTTTTCAAACTTCATGATTTATGGTTAACCCAAAAAAGAACTTGATGACTTGTGAAGAAGGGAAGACCAAGGCCCAAAGGAAGAAAGGAGGACCAAGGCCCAAGAAGGAGTTGGAGGGGACCCTTTTGGCACATGATAGAGCTTCTTTACAATGTTTAGGCGCACAGTGCTAGGTAGACAAGGATATGCTCTACCGAGACGACAAGAGAATGATGCTCTAATTAGACTGCTAGACCACTGGAAGGGTGTTCTAACTAGACCACCAACCACCAAAAAAGTGCTCTAATTAGACCATTAGATCGCAATACTAAGCAGAAGGTTAGGCATGCAGTGCTAGGAATGTAGTACTATGCATGCAGTGCTAGGCATGCATTGTTAGGCATAGTGCTCTATGGACGAGCACTACATAAAGGCACGTTAACAGAATACTAAATATTTATGTAGAAATTGACTATCGTTACATTTTATCAAAGTAAGATTACAATCTATTGATGCACAAATTACACAGAAAACTATATGCATTTTGGCTCAACATTTACAACATAACGGAAACATACAATGATGGCCTTATAACAACATCAACGACAAAATAATATATGCATGCATTCATTGACTTTAAACTATCCTTAACCAGCTTTTAACTATGGTAACAGCCCTATACTAATTACAGCATAAATTCCAAGCTGTTGCAAAACTTATTTGAATTAAGTGCCACTTAGTACTACAATCTAATAGTATTCCTCTTATAAATAAAGAGGTAAGTTTAAACCACATTATTACTAATCTATTGTGAGATTCAACTCACTCTCTCCTCCTTAACGAAGATAATATCATGTTAAAAAAAAAAACTCATTGAATTGGGGATAACTGTTGTAACTCCCTATCACTCTGGTATTCTTAAGGTGTGTAGTGGATATGCATGTAGACGATGATTTTGCATATGATCATCTCCTTGGTAACGGTGCGACCGAGTTGAGCAATGGACTCGTGTCCTTCTTACTGCAAGTTAAACAACCGTTTTGACATAGCAAAGCAGATGCGTGGCATTACCCCAAACCTCTAGAGCCCCCCATCAGCCACGTTCACCCCATCACATGTCACATCCTCCTCTCTCTGCCTCCTCATTCACCTTCCAACCCTCCCTCTATATAACCCTGATTTCCCTCCAAACAGAAACCGAATACCAAAAAGAGTGTTTACTTCATTGCATCAAACTTTGTGAGAACAACTAGAGGTTGGAAATTAAGAAATGGCATCGGAACAGGAAAAACAAGACCCCCAGAAGAGAAAGGAGCTCGACGAGAAGGCAAGGCGGGGAGAGACCGTCGTTTCCGGTGGTACTGGTGGCAATAGCCTTGAAGCACAGGAGCACCTTGCTGAAGGTAACTAATTCATTAAATTACTCGTCTTTCCACTTCTCCCGTGAGAGAGAACTTTTCATGCACATAGTATGTTATATGCAAGGGTAGCAGTATCTCAAGACTTGAAAGTAAAAAACATATGGTAATTTACGTGGTAGTGAATGATAAGAGTTGTGTGTGTGTGTGTGTACCGCTCCCTTTGCATTCCAGGTGAAAGTAAGTTTTGACATTTTAGTTACGTAGTCTGAATTTTTTGTGTGCGGTGATTAGGGCGGAGCCGTGGAGGGCAGACGAGGAAGGAACAGATAGGGGAAGAGGGGTACCATGAGATGGGAAAGAAAGGCGGGCTGAGCACCACTGACAAGCCCGGAGGAGAGCGTGCTGCTGAGGAAGGCATCAAGATTGACGAGTCGAAGTTCAAGACCAAGAATCGCTGATCATGATTTTGGAGCAGCATGGGTGGCTCCCAAAACTCCAATCCCTCTTTGGTTTTTGATATTTCTTGCTACGTCAGTGTCTGTAACATAAAGTTATACTATTTTGCTTATTTTTCCCTTGTAGTAGTGTTACCGATAGTGTCTTTTTGCATGAAGTTGTAGCTAGGAACGGTGTTTTGCTTATTTTGCCCTTGTAGTAGACCACTCTTGTAATCTCCTTCTTGTATAATTAATGGCATTTTTCCATGGTTTCATAATATGTTTTCTTCACACGTCCGAGCCTTTTTTCGTGTGCAACAAAATTTTGCTTGTAGCTGTCGAGGAATTCTTGAATGAACATTGTGTATGAGGAGAGATTTTTCAGTGTGATCGGTATACGGGATAGTATATCACGTATCATTAAACAAATGGTGAGATATGTGCTAAAATTTTAATAACTTAAAAATTAAAATTTCTCATCATTCCTATTGTTAAAACACGTGGTGTGCTATTTATGTTCCCGTCGCAACTAAAAATTTATCGTGTACAAGGGCAGATGAAGAAATCGTGCAATATCTTGCAAAATCGTATTTCTAGAGACGGTTGGAGGTGGACATTTTGGAATATTTGACGAGCTAATACTCAAAAGAGGGCTTATTACTTACACAAATATTGTTATTTTCCGTCACCACAGAAAAATGTCATCTGCTGTTAATTTCTTGACTGAATTATTATCGTCCTTTTTTCCTTGAATCATTCAGCAAATATTCATCACATGACTCGAAAAAATCCCAATCAGTTGGAAGTATAAACCCTCTTTTGAAACGTTTGTAGCGCATTACAAAGGCAAGGCAGAAGAAATTTGAACACATGAGTCCATGTTTCATACATCTTCCTTCTTATCTCGTCAAACTCAGGCGACAAGACACAGAACACAGCATAAAATATGGATATGAGAGCGTCTCCTTACGTTGAGGAAGATGAAAGGAATTGAAACGACACTATTTAAACAAGTGTGGATTTGATAGTGACGACTGTGCGAGTAGAATTTTTCTTTAAAAGGTATTTGTCAGGGATATTTTCTTCTGGTTGACTACAATATGTTGCAGATTGTGTCGTATACATGTTTATTTTTTTTCAATTTTCTGAAAAAGCAATGAGATCTTTTAAATTATTTTGTGAAGAAAAAGAACTTGGAGCTCAGGAAAACAAATACTAGCCAGTAAATTTTACTCACATCTGCAATGAACCTGTATGTTTATTTTCTTTATCAATGCCCATTACCTTTTTTTAATTTTTTTTTTTTCATTCAAAAGTTTAATCAAGAGCCCATCCATTTTTTTTAGAGTGCAGATGGATCTTCTCCCTTATATCGAACACTAAATCTTCGTCACATACCTTTTTTTAAGAAATCCAAGGCAGCTTACCACAAGCACCCCATCCTATACGACTAGTTGGGGCCCGGGGGAGGACAAAAAAGGTTAAATCTCTACTCATATTCATCAGAAAACCGATATCCATAAAAAGAGCCGTGTTGTTGGTAATTACTTTTTTAAAGTAATTTATTGGTTGTCTAAGGTTTTGAGATTATGATTTCATTTTGTTCTTATGGAGATTCAGATTCCTTTCAATTGAAAAATGACTTCAATGCTACGTAACACTTGGATTACATGTAATTTTGTTTGTTTTTAAACTAGAGTGATAGATGGTTATGTAAGAGTTTTAATAAAATGAATTAATATAATTAATTTTTAGAATTAGAGTTAGTTACAAACTCTCTAAAACTGATGGTCCTGTCTCTACAATAGTAAGAGCAATTGCATCATATAAGTAGTTTGATCCCTCCTCTCAAATCAATGTCGTTCTCATATGATTGTTAGTTCTATTGAGAGCAAGGAATGCTAAAGAATTTTGGAGAAGGGAAGATCAAACACTCAACCTTATTGTGATGTCTTCAACTACAAGTTAATTTTTTCTCTAATTAGGGTTTATTGGAATATGAAAACGTAGATTAATTGTTTGATTGTTACGATGATGATAAATAAAGGTTTACAAGTTACTAAAAAAAAAAAGATTGAAATTGAATCCGCACTAATATCCATAACTATTTTTTGCCGACTCAGTTCCTTCATTAGATTTGATTCACAAACTGAATATTTTGTTTTTAATCTGTCATTTATTTATCTTACTACTCACTCAGTGCTAGATACGTTAAAGAGAGAACGATAATCATTTGGAATCTATAGGCAAGCGTGTGGGTGCACTGTAGCTCCACATTGGTTACTGTGACACCAAAATATAGAGTTATGGCAGTGATGACCATCAAGCCATGGGTCGTGGCATTCTCCCTGCAACTTCTTCACTGACCAAAACACCCACGTGGCATAAACCCAAAGCTCCGAACCTCCCCATCAACTGCATTTACCCCACTACATGTCACTTCCTCCTTCCTTTGGCCTTCTCACTCACCTTCCATCCCTACGCCTATAAAAACCACCATTGCTATCCAATTTAACTTAGAAGTGTGAGACCAAAAAGAAAAGAGTGAGGAACTAGAGTAATGGCCTCCGAAGGAAAGGCGAGACCTTCGGAAAAGGAAAGAACCGGACCAAAAAGTCCCTCGACGCTCAGGAGCACCTTGCTGAAGGTAAATCTTAAAAAGAAGCATCCTAAATTTCCATTTAATATATGTAGTCTTCTGTACGTGGGCAATGATGTGTGTGTATGGTGTTGAAGGACGCCACCGTGGAGGCGAGGCAAGGAAGGAGCAGCTGGGAAGTGAAGGGTACCAGGAGATGGGCCACCGTGGAGGCGAGGCGAGGAAGGAGCAGATTGGACAGGAAGGGTACCAGGACAAGTCCGGAGGAGCGTGTGCTGCCGAGGAAGGCATCGAAATTGACGAGTCCACTTACAAGACGAAGAGCCGCTAATATGGATCATTATTCATTAAGCAGATTTTCTAGCTCCAAGTCCGTTACTTGTAGTTTTTGTATTAGGGTTTCTAAGTTTGGTTTAACTAGGTTTTTAGGATGCATGGCGTTTAGTGTCTTTGTTCTAGGCTCAGCGGTAACCACCATTTCTATCCAATTTAACTCATAAGGCAAGAACTGGACCAAAAGGCAAGGCAGGGAGCCACCGTTGTCCCCGGTGGATCCGGCGGCAAAACCCTCAACGCTCAGGAGCACCTTGGTGAAGGTAAATCTTAAAACATGCACCCTAAATTACCATTTACCATGTGTAGTTTTTTGTACCTGGCTAATGATGCGTGTGCATGGCCCTGAAGGACGCCACCGTGGGGGCAAGGCGAGGAAGGAGCAGCTGAGAAGTGAAGGGTACAAGGAGACGGGTCACCGTGGAGGAAAGGCAAGGAAGGAGCAGCTTGGTCATGAAGGGTACCAGGAGATGGGCCACCGCGGAGGTGAGGCGAGGAAGGAGCAGCTCAGTCATGAAGGGTACCGGGAGATGGGCCACCGCAGAGGCGAGATGAGGAAGGAGCAGCTCGGTCATGAAAGGTACCAGGCGAAGGGCCAACGTGCAGGCGAGGCGAGGAAGAAGCAGCTCGGACAGATTAGACAGGAAGGGTATCAGGAGATGGGCAAAAAGGGGGGCCTCAGCACCAAGAACAAGTCGGGAGGAGAGTGTGCTGCCGAGGAAGGCATCAAAATTAACGAGTCCAAGTACGAAACGAAGAGCCGCTAATATGGATCATTAACCAGTGCTTCCAAGCTCAAGGCATCCGACTTGTAGTTTTTGTTATTAGGGTTTCTAAGTTTTATTAGGGTTACGAAGTTTGGTTTCACCAGGGTTGTAGGAGTGCATGCTGTCTATTGTCTTTGTCCTTCGTATGTGGTTGTAGTAAGAGTGCTTGTTGTCCAAGTATGTTTTCAGCGTCGGAAATCATACACACGCCGCATCCTCTTTGTGTCTAAACCTGGGCTTGTCCAGCTATACAGTTACCATCATCGGCGCCGCATGGGGGATTGGGAGAAGCAAGAGACAGTGCTACCGAAGAAGGCCTAAGTTGTGTTTGGGATATTTACAGCAGCAACCTCCATTTGAGAAGGCAGTAACGAAAAACAGATGATAATTCTTAATCGTCGGCGTCAACATAACTTTGCTACTATAAGTGAAGAAGACATACTTTGACATTGATTCTTCTACCTGACTCGCATAGCACTGCATCAGGTGGTCGTGTAATTTTCGATCTCTCTCTCTTTTCTTCACATCTTTTGCCCAAGTGCTTCAAAATGTTAATGACTTGTCGCCAACGCTGTTACTAAAAGACCGAGCACAAGAAACGGCTGCGCACTCGCCTGGAATACACGCAGAGCAAATTTCAATAGCTCATTCTTCGATGGCACAAAATTGGATATATAAGTAGGGGTTTGCAGGAATGAAAATCCTAGAGCATATCAATGGATAACATAAATTGTCAAATTTAACGGCTGAACATGCACTCAAGAATCTAATGGAAATAACGGACGAATCTGAGCCATTTAAAAGACAATGTAGGCTCTTGAAAGAATACCTGATATTTAACATCGTACTTGACAGGGTCTTTGAGAAAGTACTTGAACTGCACAGCACAAATTGCATAAACAAAGTACTTATGAGCTATAATGTCTATCAAAATCTGTCTTATAAAACCGGGAAAAGAAACATTTAAGATTTAATATAAAATTAGCATAAGGTTACGTTCACCATTCAGCAGAATTAAGAGTCTTTGAAAAAGAGATCTACCTGGAAAAAGACTTGGGGAGCTATCAAAGCAAGGAGAGCTAATGCATAATATGGTTTACCAGCCCCTAGCAGATAACCTGCAAACCAGTCAATTGACAGGACGATCGGAACTATCATAAACAACAAAATCCAAAAGTCTGATGATCACAGCAATCAGCTTCAACGGTCTGCTTAACGAAGATAACATACCAGCGACCGATAACTGAGTGATGTCAATGGCACCAACACAAATCCATTTGGCAGTTTCAGAACCAAAAGCTACAGGGAGTGACTGCAAACAGGATTGCCACAAATAATGTTACGTTTGCTGCAACTAAGATTGTTAACAATATTGTAATAGAGAAGACTAAAACCTGAAGCCCCATTGCTCTATCTCCTTCAACACTTTTAAAGTCGTTTACAATAGCAATTCCCAACTGAAATGTGGGACGAAAAAATATGCAGTCAGTTGGTCTAGAGCATGCTATGTAAGCACATGTTAAGATGCTTCTTTCAGAAACATACCCCAGCTATGCTGTACAAGAGTGTGAGGACGATTATGTCCGGCGTAAGGGTCCCAAATAATGCCTGACCAGCCCACCTATCAATAAGAGATTGAACTGAAATCCATTACCCAGCACTATGGACATCAAAACAGTTTCTAGCATTCAACCAAATCATATGAATTTATTGGTCGCGGTTCTTGAATAGACTTTAAGACTGTTATAACAAGACTCCTAAGAAGTATCCAATTACGTGAGTGAGGAAAGATGATAAACAATTAATTCAATGCATTTCTTATTCAATTAATATCAATCTGAATTACAGAAGGATCCCTCAATCAAGAGTTCTTGACCCTTTATATGAAAGATCTAATTCTTGTAAGTTCACAAAAGAAAGATAAGGCAGGGATTACGCACCATGGCAAGCTGATATAACTTGCACCCAGGGCAAAATTTCCAATCCATCCGTTTTGTTTTAGCTGCAAGCAATAACTCATGAAGCACAGTCTTAAGCAAAGTTTCTTCTCAAACATCAAACTAAGCAAATCGTTTGATTTGCTGATAGGTGGGGGAAAAAAACTACCTTTAAAGGTGGAGCGGAATAAATGTACGATAGCAAGGATCCACCCACAGCAAGGTAAAATAATATTGGGAATTTATGTCCTGCCTGAAAAGGACAGCTATTCATGATTGACATCTGATCTAAATATTTGAAGGTGTAAGAAAGAGCCAGTCCATCATGCAAATACTTACCCACACATCTAATATGCCAGCGAAACTAAGGCCTCCTAAAAGCAGCACCCAGATTTGAGTAATAACCTGAAGAAAAACAAAGAACCAGATTGAAAATGCAATCTTCACTAAAAAATTTTATACAATAAAGCAAAATACAGCTAGTACCCTTACCTCATTCTCAGATATTGCCCCTGAGGGAATTGGACGATAAGGTTCATTAATTGCATCGATCTCTCGGTCATACCAGTCATTTAGGGTCTAAAGAAAAGGCCATGGAGTTATTGGACTATAAAGATCTCATCAATCAAAACCAAAAACCGAAATCAACTTTCCATCCCAAGTAAACCATACCTGGGTATAGCCAGTGAGTAAAGGGCCGGACATACACATGCACATTATTGATTTAGCAACATCCTCAAAAGTCCAATGAAAATTTCCTGCAACGTGAAATTTTCTCTCAAAAGTAATTCATGGACAGAGGATAAGCATATAGGGGTGATTTTCGGTCGGATCCGATCGAAAACAAGCATTCCAATGCCAATCCGAAAAACTTTCGGAATCAAATATTAGTTCCAATTTTGGAATTTAGGATTATCGAAATTTATCAAAAATTTCAGAGTTGGTTTTATCTTGGAATTTTCAGAACATGATTCGGATCTCCTACATTTTACAAGACTGAAAAAATTTTCATTGACCACTTTTGCAGACGAGCATACCAGAAGCAGCAGCTCCGCAAACTACTCCCCATACCAGTGGAGGCCAAGTTACAGGCTTTGTCAGCTGAAGACGAATCTTCCACTTGTTCTGCACAGTTTAACTCACAGATCAACTCCTGTCTCACATTTCTTGCCACTATGATTCTATCAACTTAATATCCACTAAAAAAAGCACCTTAATTAAACTATCCACTTTACTAATTCGATATCATAATTGCAGCGAACAATATGCCATCGTGTCATATTAATCAAACTATTCCAAAAAACCCATATTCTACTTTCTTTTTTCTTTTCCGAAAGAAATTCTAAACATTCACCCGCTTCTTACACAAAATGCATGTAAACGAATTTCCAACCGCAACCATAAAACGAAAAGTATTTATTTTCGAGATCGGTTCCACAAAGTTAAGCTTCTAGCATCATCTGAGGAAACCCACATTATGCAAAAACACCAACGCACATGGAGAGAAGGTACTCAAGCTTTGAACTTGTATACTAAACTAACAGTGATGACTTACAGTTTCTTGAGAAGCTCCTTTAATCCCAAGAAGCTGATTGACGCTCGAACCGGCTTTAGCCGGTGCCTTATCCGGCACTGAAGATTCAACTGCTAAACCAAAATCTCACTATAATCCACTTTAATTCTATCAAATTTGACTAAAACAAATCGAAATGTAGAATCTTAATAGTTTAATATCATTAAAAACCTTCGTTGGTATCGGTCTCCGCAGCCCTAACCGTAAGCCTCCTTCCTGAAAATTTCAAAAATGTCAAAATTTTAGAAATCTCAACCAATAAATCTCACTTGTCAATAGATTGCTGAAGGAAAAATAAACCGAAGTTAAATCAAATTAGGAACAATTGAATTGAAAGATAGAAAAGCAATTCGAACGCTGTTCATCGGGGAATTTGAATTTCTCGGCAACCAAACGAAGCGTAATAGCAAGTGGACTCACTGGTAAACGAAACCGAAACCGGCGCGAAGGCGGACTGAGTCCGAACTCGGTCGGCGTTGAGGTTCGATAGGCTAATAGACGACACCATATTGAGTACGGACGCCATTGATGGAGCTGTACGGAGCTTACTGGCGGAACACGGAGAGACAAGAAGTGGAAGAGCTACTGCACGGACTAGCCGATAACTCTAGTAGCTACTACCTACCTGTGATAAATGTTTGTCGAAGGTGAGAAAAAGAGCGTAGTTCCGGTGTGATGTGTGTACGGAGTTTAATCTGTGACTGCTTATGTGGCGGATCGGACGAGGCTGATGTAATAAATCCTTGGACGAAGTACCATAACCGTTGATGCGCTCTGTCGTCTCAAAGTTAATAGTTAAAGCAATTTTTCCCAGAACAATAAAAAGGAAATAAAAAGAGAAAAGATCCCAGCAAATAGTAAATCCCAATGCTGGATTCTTGGATTGAAA